ACCCCATGAAGTATTTGTTTGTAAATATGTAAGTGTATGACACAGGTATACACAAGCTTGTCAAACTGGAAGTGTAAGACAGAGTTAAGAGGAGGAAGGGATCAGTGTAAAAATGTGGATTTTTCCACAAGATGAACACAAGCATGTAAGTTTTAGTACTTCTGCAGCGTATGCAGAGATTTCCCCATAGTCAGTATGGGTACATATACTGCCTTTTTGTTTAATGATTATGTCTAGGCCATTATTTATGCTAAAAGGATATCTTCTTTATCTGTGATTAAGTGCATAGCTTTGCTTTGGCACTGATGTTCTGATGTATTTAAATGCTCATCTCCCGAGCCCAAGTGGTGATCCAAAGGGGGAAAAAGCATTGTAGCTTCTAGAAATTCAGTGAAGTACTTTTCATAAAAATTTTGTCATGTAGCTCCTCAGGGCCTGGAAAAAACCCTCTTTTGATCTCTTAAATCAATTTGACATTCAGTATCAAAACACATATATGCCCTTTGAAAAGGGTAATCACTGTAATTGAGCTGGGTAGTCGAGGTAGATGTGAACCCAAGGCAATACCATCATCAGTTGCACAGTGTCCAGTGGTTGAGGCCAAGGGCATGGCAGCCACTTCCCCTGGCTCCAGCCTAATGGGATTCAGCAGCAAGGAGCTCAGCCTCTTCTGAACCCGAAATCTTCTCAGTATCAAATATCTATAGTCCATTTTTGTGTAATTAAGAGTGTACCTGTTCACCGAATAATTTATCCTTCAGTATTGAACTGTTCCATTCATGGACTGCATATCCAAACCTACTGCTGAGAGCAGTTTCTCATATCTCAAAATATATGACATTGATTTGGTATAATTTTCACTTTGATACCTGATGAATGATGCCTTGTGTAATCTGAGGTATTTGATATTTGGTATTTGAATTTGCATTTTCTTGTTTGGAAAGAAGTTATTTCAAAACTTCCCCAGATCATTCAATCCCACTTGAGATATTTGATGATATAAATGAATCCTAAGTGATGACACTCTTTTTCAGTCAAATTTACGAGTAAATATCTACTTTTAGAACTCTTAAAAACACCTATAATCTCTCACATGAGAAATACTTAATTGCAGCCTACTAAGTTTTAGTAGATGCCTTGCTTTGTCTAAGATTTTTTTGTGAAATACATGCTCATTTGGAGTCTGCATTTTTCTAACTCCACTTTGAAAATGTGGATCTGAAAGACCTTTCTGAAGGACTGAGATACTGGTTGACTAGAAGGCAAAGGGATCTCTTTCTGTAGGTAAAACAGAGAAAACAAATTTTTTCATTAGTTATTAGTCTTTCTTTTTGTGAAGGTTTGAATGCAAGGACACTCTTATCTAAACAGAAGTACATTGTCCATTGTATGAGAATTTCTAGCATTTCAAACTTTTACGTATTTGTAATATAACCTGTTGTTTGTCATGAGGTGGGGGAAAGACTGAACTAGAAATTGAAACTTCAAACGTTGTTTGTTCAAAAGTAGTAATATATTTATAGTTATCAAAGTTACTAATTTCTACTTAATAGCAAATCTGCTTCAGATGGAAAAGTTACGGACACTTTCATCCTCAAAGAAATATGTCAAAATATGAAAAGAAAGAAGAACCCTATAAAGTCTCATTTTTGTGGTTTTTTTTCCTTTTCATTTAGCATACCCTTGCTTCCACCTCTATTGCTGACCAAAGGGACTTAGATTCCCTTTGAATCTGATTTGAATCTCAGAGGCTCTAAAGGGCTTGGATTTGATACCATGGAATATGTTATTTTGTTGAGTGCAGCAATTAGTTACAATCTACTTAAAATGGCCTTTTATTCTTAATTCACTCGGGTTACTGGAAGCTCCTTCTAAAATGCATTTCTTGTCCACAGCTGCTTTTCAGAGACAAGTCCTTTTGACATTAAAGGCATGCTAAGCATTTAGCAGGACATGAAAGGGATTTGGTGAAATTAGGAGGCAAATCGTGCTCCTGGTTATGAAAGTTATGAAAGTCAAGTGGGGAGGGTGCATTGGGGAAGGACAGTCTGAAAAGGATACTGACGCTGTTTTGGATGAAACAGGTCCCCTTTGGCAAGTTAAATTTTGTATGCTGTATTGTTCATTGCAGATAGCATTGATTTAAAGTTTGAGGGAAAATTTCCAATAAATTTAACAAGTTTGAATCAAGTACTTTGTTCTTCCCCACTTCAAAACCCAGCATATTGAGGAACAAACTGGTTCTAGGATCTGCCCACTTAGTAGAAACAGATGAAGTCACAAGCTGCACAGGACTGAAGGTGTGAAGAGTAACTAAGGTACCAAGGCTGCAGGTACAATTGCTGTTTGTGCATCCTGTCCCTGTCCCCTCTCAGCAACCAGCTCTGGGGCAGGGGAAAGGCAGCAGAGAGTATGGTGTGATGTGACTGATTTCCCCAGGTTTCTCAGTAAGCAAGACAGTCATAGCCAGACTTTATGCCAACCCCTGTAGAGGAAGGGGGAACTCTGAAGTGACAACACCGTGCCAGGGAGCTACTGCAGTGGGGCCAGGTATTCCTGCTCTGCACGTGGAGGAGCTGCGTGGCATGCAGGGTAATGTGGTGGCATTTCTGTGGCCAGTGCTCCTCTCCAAGCACAGTGCCCAAATTAAGTTTTCCTTGCGTTTTGCCTA